AATTAAATTGAAATCATAACACAGCCACAGGGGAACCCAACAGGCCACACAAACACATGAATAAAATACTCATTATACATACTGTAAGTCTGTAACATACATGATACTCCCAATCCTCATTTTATTTTATACCCATCTATTACATTATACATACACATACATAATACATCCCTCGCTCAGGATTTAGATTACAAGAGAAGGTAAGCAAAAAGATGAAATAAACTAGAAAATAATTTAACAAAGCAAACTGCAAAACCTCTTAAATAAGAAATTCCGAAATCTGTAATGAGAATATGTATCTTCACTTTTTCACATTTGCTCCTGTCCAAACAACTCAAACTAGATTAGAACTAAATTAAATTCCATTTCTCTCACTTTCTCACATTTTCTTTCTACCCAATTTTCTCTGCCCAAACAACTCAAGAAGTTAACCCAGTAAAATTCTCATTTTTCACGTTTCTTTCCTTCCAAACAAGTCAAACAATAAAACAAGTCAAAGTGATCAATATAAAACAAACACACAAAATATGGGTTAATGATCATTACCAGCCGACGAGGATGATAACGGCGACCGGAGACTGAGGTACTGCCGAACCAGGAATGGGAATGACTACGTTGACGAAGCAACGAGTGACGAACTGACGAAGTGACGAATCGAAGCTGGTTCCTCACTGACTTAATCGAGAAGACTGATGACTGTTGCTGAACTTCATAATTATACATAACCTTAATTTTAACTCTAATTTCTAAAATCTAAGCATTAAATAAGAATTTTAATTGAATTCATAAGAATTACACAATGTAATTTAATAGATCCCCTCTCCCTTAGTTAAGATTCTCCTACAACCTTTGCTGACAGTATTTATGATCAAATTTCACTAATTGAATTGTTAAAATTCAGGATTTAATTTTTTATCCGGCTCACTCCTTTTCATATAAAAAAGTATAAAGGTTAATTTAAAATTTAAAATATAAATGAACATTGAAATATATAAAAAAAAAAAAAAAAAAAAAAATCTAAAGCTGAAGTCAGCTATTTTGAACTAAATTTTTTGAGCATTTTATCTCGAAACTCTTCATCCTGAAAATATAACTAATAATTTTCCTAATTTAAATGAACTCTTAAATGCTTCTGGAAGTTATCGAGAATATTTCAAACTAAAATTTCTGATATGTAAATAAGTAAGTTAACTTATAAAGTTCCATAAAATCAACCTAATTCCAAAGGTTGACAATGTATGATATTATATGTCAATTTATGATATTTAATTTCAGAAATTGAATAAATCAACGAATATTAAATTTCTATCACTTGGTAATTATTAATTAAGTATATTTATTTAATATTTAATTATTTTAATACATTACAATTTAGAATTATAAAAATATTATAAAAAATAAAATGTCTTTTTTAGTCATTATACATACACAGCTAATTTACCTAACATGTGATGTAGATTTTGAAAATCACAATAATTATAAAAATTACAATTATTACTAACACATTGAAATTATTTTCAAAACCGGTTATTTTTAAAGTTATTAAACTTAAAAGTTACAACAATCCTAAACTAACCCAACACCATTTTTTCGATCCGAATAGTTTTCATTTAAATATTACGTGATATGAAATGTGAAAAGCAAAGTATATATAATATATATATAATATATATAAATAATATTAATATAGAAAGTTGATGTAACAGGAGAAGCAAGATGAATGGAGGTGGAGGTAGTGTAATTTGGCAGTAGGTCCATCAAAGCAACCAAGAAGCTGCGTCAAAACATCTAATTTAAATCCCTATTGCCGACCCTACAGTTTTTTTTCCTTTTTATCTAAAGTATAACAATAACTAAAACTAATATTTTTATCTCTTATTTTACCCAACAAATAATTAGGACTACAGCTGCACATTCACAATTAGTACAGTTGTTTCATGTACTGACGACTTCATAAGAGTACACATGTTCCCCACTCAGTTTAGCGAAATTCCATGTTAAATTCCAGATTTTTTACGCTTAAGTACCATCGTTAATAACCGTTGGAATTTGGATTCTATAAAGTGTGTTATTACCAAACTGTCCTCCAATCTTCTTTTTTCTCCCCCTCCCGCTATAACCAAACTACCCCCCATCTTCTTCTTCTCTTCATCTCCCCCTCCTCCCACTTCATCTCCTCATCCGACCGGGTGCGATTCCGGCCGAAATGAAAAAAAAATATAGTTGATTTTGATTGCAATCTCCACCATTCCCACTAAAAATCATCACAACCAAACTTCTCACAGCCTCCACTTCTCATAAAAATTACACAACCTCCACCATTGTACCAAAAATATCACAACCAAGCATAACCTAAAACCTATTATAAAATCAACAAACTTCTCGCTACTTCCTCTTTTCATCTGTTATCTCCAAATGTTTGTCAAATAAGCAAATGTCCAAGATGATTTAAAATTTTTTAATTAGTAGGAAAGCACCAGGATTCAGTGCTAACACAGAAAAAAAAAATTAAGGTTGATTTATGAATTTTAAAAACTTATTTCACTTAAGCTTTGAATTTCTTTTACTTTCCACCTCTCCAATCCAAAGCTTCCTTTTTCTCCTGACCAAAAACTGACCTTTTCATTTTTCAAATTCTCTAGATCTTTTAATTATTTATAATATGCCAAATTTATCTTATATTATTATTACTTTCTTGAATCATATATTACCAATACTTTTTTTCTATTTTAACTTGTTCTCTTAAATCTGTAAGACTTATAAGTTAATTAAAATTATAATTAATTCCCTACAATTTTATTAAAATTAAAAAAAAAAAAACTTATTTACATTTGATTATTCAGTGATACTTAGACCTGGCAAAACGGGTTTGGACCCGCGGGTCGGTCCGTGCCCGGGTAAAAAATATAGGGTACGGGTCCAATAAATTAAACCCATTTTTTGTGACCCGTACCCGTACCCAGTCCAATAAATCACGGGTCATACGGGTGAACCCGTGGGCACCCGTATTTGCCAAGGCTACTATTCACTATTCACTGAATGTCTGAATCCCTAAAAGTTTTTAATTTTTTATCACGCAGAGATCACAGTTCACACTCACGCCTCCCTCTCACAGAGTCACAGTCATCACGAATCACGAATCATGAATCACGAATAGAGATCACAGTTCACACTCACCCTTCCCTCTCACGTCTCCCTCTCACGCATCTCATCAGTCATCAGACTCATCACGAATCACGCTCACGCCTCCCTCTCACAATCTCACTCTCATCTCAACATCTCATCTCTGATCTCTCAGTCTCAGATCACGGCTGCATCTCATCTCTCAGACTCTCCCTAAACTCAAATCTCTCAACAGTAGACCTGGCAAAACGGGTAGGTGGGCCAGGTACGGTCCGGGTTATACGGGTACGGGTCCTTATACGGGTCGATATATACGGGTCTAATATTTTGGACCCGTGCCCTACCCTATACGGGTACGGGTGGACCCATTTTTTCTCTCTCCAGATTTTAGTTTTATTTTCACCCCTAACAGTTTTCAATTATGACAATTACACCCCCAAAATTCATGTAATTTTAATTTTTTACATTTACACCCCCTAAATCAACTACTCTAAATTCAATTCAATNGAGGTAGTCTGTTAGTGCCATTATATTAAATAAGAAAAATGAAATCATGGTTTTAATTATGTATCCATAACAAAATATTCGATTTTAAAGATTCAATTACTTAAATAATGTACCATAGCATCATTCCTAAATATGGGTTTTCATTTAATTTCCATTATTTTCCAATGACAAATTCAGGTTGTACCACTAAAGACACCATTTAAGAGCGAGATTATTTAGACTACCTATTTTATTAAGTACAGTAAAACATTTCTATAGTTATAATAGTGGGACCAAACTAATTTTATTACTAAAGAGGTTATAACTTAATAAAGGACTACAATATTCATACCAAACTAATTTTATTACTATGAAAAAGTTATAACTTAATAGAAGACTACACTAATCGAATGAATATTAATAACTTCCTCAATTATCTAAATGAACAAGTCGTGTATGCTTTAACTAAAGAAGAAATCATTATTAGAATTAGACAAGAAGATGAAGGAGATAATCATGGGGATAATAGTATGAAAATACAAAAAGTTTCGTGCCAAGAAACCCTAAACATGTCCAAGAACCTATAAATATTTTGGTTTCAACAAGAATGTGTTTATACTAGCGAGTTATTATGTACTTGTAAATTCAAAAAGATGTGGTAACAACTCTAAAGTATAAATCATTGTTCCAAACAACTTTAGATAAATATTTTATTTTATTTTAAACCTTTAATGTAACATAATATATATTTTTTGCAATATACAGATAAATATTATTATGTGGAGACAAGTTTCTTAAGAGGGAACCTAACATATTATAACTTATTACAATATAGAGTTTATTCCTTTTTATATTAGCCTAAGTTAAGATCATAATTATTTATAATTACATGGAAGTTATTCTTATATGGAGTATCACTATAAAGAAGTTTTACTATATATATATATATATATATATATATATATTACTTCAATTTCAAAATTTAATTTTCATTAACTTTCAACAAAATTTCTATTTTAATTATATATTAATTTTGATCAAAAAAAATAATAATTGCAAAAAAAAAAAAAAAAAAAGGACCAAAATTGAGGAAGACAAGTTTTTGGATATATGGATGATGGAAGCTTACTGTATCAATTTAGCATCACAGGGAGCAATTAATAGATGATATTTAACAAGGAATTATGACTCTGTTAAAACTAATCCAATCAAATATTTAACTTTAACTTGAGTGATAATATTGTCATCAACCAATAATTCCTGTTTTGCCCATTATGTCTTGAACCGGGAGGAAAAACAAGATAGAAAGTAGTAATTAAGGAACAAAACTGCTATTAGAGACCCACAATCATAAGATCAATGACACAAATTCTGTAAACTATAATGCACAGTCTATAAAGCACATTAGAACTTAGGCACTTTGAACTTTTTATATGCCACATAATGGTAACAAGAATTGGTACACTGATATGCCAGACTTTGGGTTCAGATTGTGTCTTGAGTAATTCATTTTCAAATTTAATGGGATCATATTGTATCAGAATCAACAATTTACTATCTGGAGATAAAAACCAGCCCACACATTTATAAATAGATAGTGAAATACAGTTGCTCTTGCCTTCTCCAATCTCCATATCCATTAGGCTACAGCCAAAACTCCCTGCAATACATCAAAAGCAAATGCTTACCATAATTTTGTAGGAGGGTAACAGTAGGGTAACAAATTTCAATTTGCTTTCGTAGTTCAAATCATACCAATTTTGAGGTATAACTTCTGATCAGCAAGTACAGTATGTTCTGCTAAATAATTATAAACGACAGATTGCAACTAAACTCCATTATTAAAGCCTAAAGATACTTTTAACAGTTACCAATAACAAGCATGAATGGAACAAACAAACCTCCCTACTAATACCAAACCTCCCTACTAATACCAAACCTCTTCAATAACAAACTAACATTTCCGCATTAAAAAGAGTTTGAATCAATTGCACATGCATAAGAAAGGGATAATCCATATCATTCATCAACCTTATTTGCGAGCAGAGTTTTACTGACACAATTAAAAAGGCTGAACAACTTGCAGCAGAGGCTAATTTTTAAATCCATAATTGAATTTCGAAAATGGAAATCCTAACATCAATCAGCAAATAAGTATTCATGATTGTTCTCCACTACCCATGATTCCATCATAGACAATGATATAGAAACGCTAAATAAAAACTGCATTTACAAATATGCAATTTTAAGAAGATAATTCAACTTTGCTACCTGGTAATAATCAATAACATATACTATATTTGACAACTCTAGAAACACAAATTGCCACTTCTATACAAAAAACCTAACAGGCCCATTCACCTTGCACAAAGACATCCCGAAACACTTTATTATGACGAACCCGCAAACTGCCAGTATTTTTCTCACAAATTGTCCTTACAAGAATATTTTCAAAAAAAAATAAAAGAAAGAAAAAAGAAAAAAGAAAAAACACCAATCCACTATCCTTAAGAATCATAGACACAGCAACTCTTATGTTTTAACTGAAAGATCCACCTATAAGGTCAGTTCCTATGATAGTTTTACAAAGACGAGAAACAAAAACTGGATTAAGCCCGAGAAGGGGGTTATGCTGGTCTATCACACATGCTGCTTTCCTCCATTTGACATACAATCCAACACCCCAAACTGTCTCAGTGTTGTGCCCATTGTATCTGCTTTATGTCAATTCCTTCTTTCACCATCTCATAAAGCGGGCTCATTTCCCTCAACTTCTCAACCTGTTTAACGGTAAGGTCAACAGCCCTGTCAACCTCAGCCTCCGTAGTAAACCTCCCAATCCCGAACCTAATCGAAGTATGAGCCATATCCTCTTCCACTCCCAACGCCCTCAAAACATAAGAAGGCTCCAAACTCGCACTAGTACAAGCACTCCCACTCAACACTGCCACCTCCTTCAAACCCATCAACAAACTCTCTCCCTCAACATAAGCAAATGACAAATTCAAATTCCCCGCATATCTTCTCTCCATACTACCATTTATCACCACCCCATCAATTTTCTCCCTAATTCCATTCAACAATCGATCTTGCAATGTGGTTATTCTCTTATGATCATAATCCATTTCCTTTCTCGCAATCTCACAAGCCGAGCCAAACCCCACAATTAACGGGGTAGGCAAAGTCCCACTCCTTATCCCTTTCTCTTGTCCACCTCCATTTATCAACGGTTCAACTCGAATTCGAGGTCTACGTCTCAAATACAAAGCTCCAATCCCTTTGGGCCTGTAAATTTTATGCCCACTCAATGACATCAAACTAACATTCCATTTCTCCACATCAATTGGAATCTTTCCCAATGCTTGAGCAGCATCCGTGTGAAAGGGAATTTTAAATTCATTACATAGTTGACCAGTTTCTTCCATAGGCTGAATCACACCTATCTCGTTATTAACTGCCATAACGGAAATTAAACCAATGTCTGGCCGAATAGCAGCCCGTAATTCATCCAAATTGACAAGCCCATCCGATCCAACGGGCAAATAAGTAATTTCAAAACCTTCCTGCTGAATATGTCGACATGAATTGAGAACACACTTGTGCTCAGTCTGTGTCGTGATGACATGGCGCTTCTTGTCCTTGTAAAAGTGCATAACTCCTTTGATTGAAACAATGTTGGATTCGGTTGCGCCAGAGGTGAAGATTATTTCTTTTGGAGAAGCGCCGATAAGATCAGAGATTTGAGAGCGGGCTGTTTCAACAGCGAGATCCGATTCCCAACTGTAATAGTGAGTTCGAGAGTGGGCGTTACCTTAACGGGGCGAGGTAAAATGGAAGCATCGCACCAAGGACACGTAGATCAACGGGAATTGTTGCTTGCATGTCAAGGTAGAGTGGACGACCTGAAATTCTCACACCTTTCATGGAAATTCCATTTGTGTCTTCGAAGGATTCGTGTATTGTTGAGACATTGGCTGTGGCAGTGGAAAGTCCATCTAATAAAAAATTTTCAAGTAAATCAATCAGATTTTGATTCTCATTTTGATATAGTTATAACCACAAATAAACATGCCACAAGATTTTTTTTTTTTTTTAGTAACTCTCATCTTCAAAGAGATTCCAAATTTTATAGGCCTTTCATATAAAACCCAGGCACTCCCACGCCCCGTTCACCATTCATGACAAAATTTGATTCTCAAAATTAAAAAAACAGAATTAAAACTCTAATACAACAGGCTTCCATATACTGACGATAATCCAAATAAATCAAATTGCATATAATACAATGAGTCAATTAAAATATAAAACGAAACAATAATCAAAAACTAGATTCTCGATTCATGACACAATTTAATCCTCAAAATTACAAAAACAGAAAACAAAATTCTAACAGCACAGCCTTCCACAAATTGACGAAAATCACAAATAATAATATGCATATAATACGAAGTGTGAGTTAAAATATGAAAGCAAACAATAATAAAAACCTATATTCATGATCATGAAATAATTTAATCTTCAAAATTTTAAAAAAAAAAAAAAAAAAAAAGACGGCTAAATTGAAAATTTTAGCACAACAGCCTTCCAGATATTGACTAAAATCGCAATCTGCATATAATAACACGATGAATGGATTGAAATACGAAAGCAAACAATAATCAAAACCTAAATTAATGAAACATGGAGGGATGCTTACAGGCAATCGTGGAGAAAATTTAACTGACCGCCATCCCAAGTTTGGATTTAAAAAAATAGCCTTGAAACTGTTTACCCTTTTTTTTTTATTTAGAGAAGCGACGTGGCACGGTTAGAATCCATTAAACATGTAAAATGGGTTAAAATGAAAAGATTAAAACATATAAGGATAAAATATAATTAATGAAAGTTTTTAAAATTTGAAATTTGAAAAGAGCCCCAAATACTCAAATCGCTAATCGAAACCAATTAAGGCAAAAATCGATATCTTCAATCCCTAAACGCATCTATGCAATTTCCGGCATAACAGTTCACATTCCGGCAAATTTTCACACCCAAATTCAATCCTAAAGCTTCTTCCTCTCTTAAAACTATGGTTGACATTAACAATGAGGAGGAAAACCCACGCCTCTTCGAATCGTAGAGTCCGACCGTGCAAGCAGTTAAACGGCTACTCCGGTGGATCCTCTGATCAGTGAAGGTGTTCCAGCAGCGGAGACGACGGCGCACAACAAAGAGAGAACAATAGCAAAACGGTTTTGAAGAGGAAGAGGAGGCCAGGCAGAATTCAGGCCAGGAAAAGGAGTCCGACGAGAGTTCAGAGGAGGAGCAGGAGGCCGCCAAGAGGAGGAGGGCCGCCGAAGAAAAGGTATTTGTACTTGCCGGAGACTAAGATCTCTTAAGCAATCCTTTGTATCGCTTAAGCTAGCGTGATGGCTTTTACTCTTGGTCGCTTAAGCTATTTTGATTGCTTAGAGTAAAAGCGATGAATCGCTTAAGCAATATAAATGATCGCTTAAGCGATCTTAGATTTGGCAGATGTTGATTCTGCCTCGTACGATCTGTAATCGCTTAAGCGACCAAGAGTAAAAGTGATGAATCGCTTTTACTCTTGGTCGCTTAAGCGATCTCTTCCGAGGCAGAACCAAATTGCCCAGATCTATAATCTCTTAAGCGATCCTTTGTATCGCTTAAGCGATTTCAGATCGCTTAAGAGATCTTGTATGAGGCAGAATCATCTGCCATCGCTTAAGCGATTCTTCCGGAGCGTATTTTATTTATATTGATTTGGTTTAATTTTTTTGCTGAATTTGTTTATATCGATTGTGCAGTATTTTTTGGAGCGTAAACTATAGAGAGTACGAATTGGAGGTTGTAAGCGATACGGTACCGTACTTCCTTGTGAGGGTGACAGTGAGGTCAAGTTGGGATGTTTTAATGAGAATACGGGATTTTAGGGACAGTGAGGAATGGTGAAAGGAGATTCAAAGAGACTTGTGTTCAGTCATTTTTGGGATATGGACACAAAATGGAAAAAAGACATTCTGGGGTCGGGAGTACATTATATGTTGCTGCACCAATAAAAAGCAACAAAAAGCACGAATGTGTTCATGGTGAATGGAAAGCCAGTACGTTTCAGGATGATGGAATAGCATGGTGACTGGCTTAAGATGTGGAGAATTGCCAGGTGAGGTGAGGAAAAAAGAAAACAGACAGTACGGGAGCCAAAAGGTTGGCTAACAAGGTTTGGTGGCGGGGAACAAGTCTATTAAGGCACAGGAATTAGAGAAGAGGTTAAAAGATGGTAGTTTAACGATTCAGAGATGTTCAAATGTGCTTGGTATTGTTTTTACATTCGATCCTAATGGCTAGTGACCTCAACAAAAGCCTTGATATTGATTGGGTGAGTTTGTAAGCAACTTAAACTTCTTTAATGCTATCCATGGGACGGGTATCATTTAAGCGAATCATGGAGCCCTGCAAGCCAAAGACCTGGCGTTTAAAGCCTCCCCAATGGGCCGAGAAGAAATATACCGGCAACGTACAATTTGTTTGGCTTCCCATGGGCAATGCAGGTAAATATTAATAGCTTTTTGTTATATTTTTTTTAATATATGTGTTTGAATTATGATATGGACTGTTTTTTTACAATGTAGGCTTGGATGTATGAGGTCATCCCTGTCCTGGCTAAGGCAGGGGGTAGGATTAGGGCTTCAGTTGTGCAACAGACATTTCCTAGGATGTCGTGAAGGCACAACCAGAAGTGTACCCATTCGGATTATGAGCAAATAGAGATTGAAATTCAATTAGCTTGGGTAAGATTAAAGGATTAAGCTTGAACATGCATTTGCTTTAAAATGTCGATTAAATCTGATTGATTTTGTTTCTTATTGCAGGGGGTTGTCCGTCCCTTCATCACCGCTACTAGGGGTGAAGCGTAACAGCACTATGTCACATCTTTCCGAGCACTGGAGGATCAAAGGGATGAAGGGATAGACCGCCTGACGCAGGACTTACAAGGGGTCACACATGTGAGGGCAGTTGTAGGGCCACTGCTTGAGAATGTGGTTAACGCCGAGGAGGATGAAGCCGCAATCGGTGGGAGGGAGGAAGAGGTTCGTATGCCTCAGCAAACCAGTATAACAAGTACCGCTTTGCTAAGGCGTCGGGGTCGGGAGAGTGAGGTGGTTGACCTCATAAAGAGTTTGTTTGATAAGATGGAAGACCAGTTGAAAAGGGTGGAGGAGAAAGTGGATAAGGTGGCAGAGAAAGTTGTTAGGGTGGAGGAGAAAGTTGGTAGGGTGCAGGAGGAAGTTCGTGGAGTATTGAAGGCGGTTAAGTGCAACCTGGGCTGAAAAGAGAGAGCCGAAAGAGCAGGTTTGTGAAATCGCCTTACACCGTACTAACACGTGGAATTAAGAGGAAAACAAAGAAACAAATTGAGGAAGAAGCCAAAATTGAGGGGGTTAAAGAGGTTTCTGGAGGAAGTGGGGCAGTTATAATGGAGGAGGTTGAGGCGGGAGGCGAAGGAAGCGGGGATGTACAAATGGAGGAAGGGGGAGGAAGCGGGCAAGCAAAAATGGAGTCCACTGTCGATTTGTATAGGCCAATAGAGGAGGAAAAGAAAAAACCCTTCTATGCCTATTACAATGAATCCGGAAGTCCGAAGAAAAAGAAAAAACTCTTAAATCACTTAAGCGACCAAGAGTAAAAGCGAAGAATCGCTTAAGCGATACAAGAGGATCGCTTAAGCGATCATAGATCTGAGCAGATTTTATTCTCTCGGAAGAGATCGCTTAAGCGATCTTAAATCGCTTAAGCGACCAAGAGTAAAACCGAGGAATCGCTTAAGCGATCATAGATCTGGGCAGATTTTATTCTGCCTCGAAAAAGATCGCTTAAGCGACCAAGCCCCACTAACTAAACACGTAAAATGGGTTAAAATGAAAGGATTAAAACATATTTGGGCCGAATAGACATAATAAAAGTTTTTAAAATTTGAAATTTCTCAAAACAAGCCCCACTAACTATTCGCCTCGCTTAATCGAAATTCATTAGGGCAAAAATCGATTTCTTGAACCAAAGGGAGACAGGCGATTTCTGATCCAACCATCAAATTTCCACACCATATTCAATCATAAACTCAATTTCTTGAACCCTAAACGGAATATAGTCGCGATTTCCGGCGATAAGTCATGATTTTCTATCGATTTCTTGGACCCTAAAATCGATTTCTTGAACCCTAAACCCTATCTGCGCAATTTTCGGTGATACATCCCATATTTCCAATCCAAACTATAAATTTTGACACCAAATTCAATCCAAAACCATGGCTGACACTGACAATGACGAGGACAACCCAACGCCACTTCTAATCCTAGATTTCGGTGGCGCAAGCAGTTCAATGGTTGCTCCTGTGGATCATCCGATCAGTGAACATGGTCGACAGGGAGAGGAGACGCCGGCGGCACAAGAACAGAGGGAAGAATCATCAAACGGTTCTGAAGACGAGGAGTCAGGCGATAATTTAGGCCAGTAGGAGGATTCCAGCGAGAATTCAGGGCAGGAGGAGTCTTCCGAGGATTCAGGCGACAAGGAGGAGGCCGGCGGCATAAGAACAGAGGGAAGAATCATCAAACTGTTCTGAAGACGAGGAGTCAGGCGATAATTCAGGCCAGGAGGAGGATTCCAGCGAGAATTCAGCGCAGGAGGAGTCTTCCGAGGATTCAGGCGACAAGGAGGAGGCCNACATGACCAACACCCCGATGGATAGGTTGAATGACAAAACAATGAGAGACTGTCGGGAGGGCTGGGCTGTCGACTGCTTCCATGGGCAAATGGATCCGTTTTGAGTGAGCAGAAACCAATAAAAAGGTATGAAAGTTGGACTTTGAATTTTGTAGTTTATGTGATGTCGATGTTGATACTTGGGTTGTGGTGCTGATGCTGCAGGTGTCATGCTTATATGGAGCTTTATCGAAAGACACGGACTGAGTGAACTTCTCATCTACACACACTGTAACTTATTTACGTGTTTTTTTTTTATTTACAAAAGTTGACGTGTCTGCAGGTTCCTGGCAAACAATGAGAGGAAACTTCTTAAACAAAGGCTGGTTGGCAAGAGGAGAGGAGGCATCTGCAATAAAGGCTGCTGGGAAGGCATGGTACAAAATAATGATCTCAGAGAGGTTGCCGGCAGTGTATAGGAAATTTTTGTAAAGAATTGGATCTGACATTTGGGAGATAATTTTTTTTGTCCATATAAATATCTCATTAGCAGGTTGAATTTACTACGTATGGTGTGATCATTTGCTTCACTCAAGTCGGATAATGGTTTTTTAGCGTTTTGTTTCATTTTGTATATCACTACAACGTGTGATATACTGGTGTGATTATTTGATTCACCCAAGTTGGGGCTAATGGTTAGCTTGTCCATATATTTCGATATTTGCCGCATCCCATGTCTATTTTTTATTTCTATTTCGATTACATTGATGTCTCCTATATTTTGATTTGTGATGAATTTGACTGATACAAATTCTTTTCGGATTTGGGAGGGAAATGAGTAATGTACAAATGTTTCCCAAATGACTAAGACTTTTCCAGATATGATCGCTTAAGCGACTAAGAGTCTATTACAAAGCATCGCTTAAGCGATACATCAGATCACTTAAGCGATTACCCATCTAGGCAGATGTTCATTCTGCCTTGACAAAGATCACTTA